AGGACATTGATCTCCCTGTCTTAGTTACCTAGCTCTTCTTCCCAGTTATGTGACCTAAGATAATGAAATAACTGTTCTTCAGATCAGTTGCTTTGTCTGCAAAATAGAGGATAAAAAGTTGCTCTAAGAATCACACATTTCTGCTCTTTCTTCTTACTCTCCTTGCCTCCTCTATTTTCTTTTTTAAATTCAGACATCTCTCAAGCCTTCTTGAAAGGACAAGATATACATCACATTAGGAAAAAGCTAAAAAGCATCTGAAGAAGTCAAGATGCACTAATGAAACTTCTGACGGACATGTATGGCACCATTCACTGCAAATGGTATTGTATTATTTCTAAGGGTGCATTGATAGTCCCATTTAAAGTAAGTAGTTTCCAGAACAGTTTTAATGTTTGGGTATTTCTCCAGAAAACTTTGTTTTACAAAACTAGCAAGAAAAGAATTAGAGGAGCAAGAAAAAGGAGGGGGAAAAAGAGGGAGAATCATAAGCCAGCCTGAGCTTCTGTCCATGAGATTCTTATCTCCAATTAACCAGCAAAAAGCTGGAAGTGAAAGTTTGGCTCAACTGTTCTATTACCAGCCTTGAGGGGAAAAAAGCCACGTGAGACTGTGAGGCCCTGAGTTTAAGCACTAGAAGAAAAACAAACAAAAATAAAGTTGTGGCATATTACAATATTGTTCAAGCTTACTCATTCCTGCCCTTCTCATGCTTACCTGTTGGAAGAGTATTTTCTCCACCCCATTGTCATTAAAGGTTATTACTATTACTTCAATCTGAACTTTTGGAATGATAAAACACACAGTGGCACTAGCTGAGCCAATCTAATTTTCAGCCTTTAAGACCAGGACATAATTCTTCATTATTGTAAACCATTGAGATGTTAGAATTACTTGTGCACAGCAAATGCTAACTATCCAGAATGAAATGTGTAGTACTGCTACAGGCAGTCAGCTTCCTTGCTAATATTTATTACATTTTCCTGTTACATTCCTGACAAAAAGCAGTATCTTTAATGAACATTGTCGGGCTATCCCTCTTCTTTCTAACCTTTAAAGAATGTAGACAAAATCTATAAAGTGAACATTCTATAAAGTAAAAATATTTCCTAAATTTTTTTATTATAGTATTCCTTTTTTGTGTGTGTGCCATTCCTAGGGCTTGAATGTAAGCCTGCTCACTGTCCCTACACTTGTTTTGCTCAAGGCTAGTGCTGAAGCCACATCTCCACATCTGGCTTTTGGTAGTTAATTGACCACGTGAGGTGGTAGTGTTCAAACACTTGTACTGTCTTACATATGCATACAAAAAAGAATTAAAGACCCCTACTAAGAACACATGCCAATACTTAGCTATGAAACAAAGCAAAATAAATGTTGTAAATAAAAAAGAACAATATTGAAGAAATATACAAATCTAAGAGAATTACTGTCTAAAGACTTCTTTCCTCCTTTGTTCCCTCTTTCCTTCCTTCCTTCCTCCCTTCCCTTCCTAACTTCCTTCCTTTTCTGTCCTTTACCTCCTCCCTTCTTTCCTTCCTCTTCCTACTCCTCCTTCTCCCTCTTCTTTCTTCCCCCTCTCTTTCTTGCTTTCATTCTTTCTCTTGTGCTGAGTATTGAACTCAAGTTCTTGAACATTCTACAACTGAGCCACATATGCAGCATGTGTTGTTATCTATTTATTTAGAATTTCTTTTAAATATCTGGATATTTTAAGGTATTTCCTCTGTCTTTGTGTTCAGGACCATGTTTTATAATTACATATTATGTAACATGATTTTAAACTGCCTTCCTTAAAAACCATGTATTTTTGAGGGGGCTTGGGCACTGCCCCTGAGCTGTAGTGCTCAAGGTTGGTGCTCTACCACTTGAGCTAACCCTTTTTTTTATTTTTGTTTGTTTTGCTGGTCCTTGGGCTTGAACTCAGGGCCTGGATGCTGTCTCCCAGCCTCTTTGTGTTCAAAGATAGCACTCTACCACTTGACCAAACAGGCCATTTCCAGCTTTTTTCTGAGTGGTTTATTGGAGATAAGATGGACTTTTCTGCCTGGGCTGGCCTGGAATGTAATTCTCAAATCTGTTTCCTAAGTAGCTAGGATTACAGGCGTGAGCCACCAGAACCCAGCTCACTTCTGACTTTTTGGTGGTTAATTGGAGATAAGACTCTCACAGATTATCCCGTCCAGGCAGGCTTCAAACTACGATTCTTAGATCTCAGCCTCCTGAGTAGTTATGAGTCACCCATACCAGCTATGAGTGGGCATGAGCCACCCAAACCTGACTGGAACATATATATTTAATTATCTTTAGATGCACAAAGGAGTTTCAATTCAACATGTCAGTTTATGAAACGGTAGATATAGTGTGTCTTGATCAATGTTACCCCTTCCATTGTTCTTTGTCATATCTGTCAACTCTACCAATCCCCTCATTTTTCCTAAATATCTTATATTTTTAATCTGTATATGAAATAGAACTTATGTGTGAAGAGGGAGGATAGATGGTAGATTGCTGAAAGTTATTGCTTTCCTGTCTCCATGAGTCAGAAATAAAACTATGAATAAATAGCTTCAAGAAAAGGGTAACAAGTAAGCAACAGGTGAGGGCACTAGGTAAAGTCTATTCAGGTTGGGGCTGAAAAGTATTGAACTTCACATATCTAAAAGAAACAAAGGAAATACTAGGCTTAATGGAGCCCCAAATTTGTTCCATTTCTCTATCATCCAAGTGCAGGATTGTTTTTCAGTTTTTATTTCACAATTTCTTGTTTCTGACAAGCTACCCTATGAAAAAAAACAAGGGTTTATACCTGACATGCCATGGGACAGAGATCATAAACTATCCATCTACTGTATGTCATTCCAGGGTAAGACAAGATTGAAACAAGTCACCCATACCAATTCAGCATATGGACATGAGTACAGTTGTCCACAGGAGATTTAGTGAAGCTTGAGTGAAGGCCTATATGCCTGCCTTGGCCTAGGAAATGTGAGAAACTGCTCAGTGACCAACTCCTGAGCCACAAACAGGTCAGAGATATCACTGGATTTCCTGTGGCAAGCAATACATGGACTACAAGAGGAATGGCAAAGGGTTTCTTGACCCACTGACTGGGCTAATTACCCCACTATCCATTTTCAACTGCTACTTCACACACCTGGAAACTACCTCTGGAAAAGCCTGTTCTTGGGTTGCTGCTACTCTGTAGGACTTTCCCTGCCTCATCGCAGCAGCTGCCCTGGCTCAGAGCCTTGACAGTGAAACACCACACCAGTAGACCTAGGGCCCAATGGAATTATAGAAGACTATGGAATGGCCTGGGAAGGTGGCTCAGTGGTAGAGTGCTTGCCTTGCATGCATGAGGCCCTGGGTTTGATTCTTCAGCACCACATAAGCAGAAAAAACCGGAAGTCGCGCTGTGGCTCAAGTGGCCTTGAGCAGAAGAGCTGAGGGACAGTGCCCAGGCCAGAGTTCAGGCCCACAACCGACCAAAAAAAAAAAAAAAAGACTATGGAGGGGTACAAGAGGCCTGTACTTCCCAAAAGGGAAATTTGAGACACTATCACACAGATGATTTTAGAGGACCAAAGGCTGGAAGAGAATGCAACTGGACAGGGTCCTGCCTGTCTGTACCAATATCTCCCCCAGCAGGATATTTATTTGCTTTGTTTTTCTGTGGTCATTTTTAGCTGTATGTTGTACAAGGTTTTATTTGGTTGTTGTTGTTTGACTATTTAATTTTGTTTTTTCTCCCTAAAATAATTTGAATTTACTGCAACAATATTTCAGTGCTCTCACCCTATTACTTCCAATTTCTTCTCTCTCATCATTTACTTCCTTCCTTCCTCTGCCTATTTCCTTAATTTCTAATATTTAATCCTTACAATTACTTTGTTGTTGTTGTTGACAGTACTGGAGCTTCAACCCAGAGCCTCGTTCAGTCTTAAGGCTTGCACTCTGCCATTTGAGCCTCGCCTTCATTTCTAGATTTTTGCTGATTGGAGATAATAATCTTTCAGATGTGTCTGTTTTGTTTTGTTTTGTTTTTTGGGTCCGGTCATGGGGCCTAAACTCTGGGCCTGGGCGCTGTCCCTCAGCTCTTCAGCTCAAGGCTAGCACTCTACCACTTTAGCCACAGCGCCACTTCTGGCTTTTATTTTCTGCTTATATGGTGCTGAGTAATCGAACCCAGGGCCTCAAGCATGCAAGGCAAGCACTCTACCACTGAGCCACCTTCCTAGCCCTCAGATGTGTCTGTAGGCTGGTTAGGCTGGTTTTTGATCCTTGCCTTAGATCTCAGCCTCCTGAGAAGCTAGCATTATAGAAGTAGCTAGGATTATAGAATGAATCATCACATCCAATTTAATTCTTATAATTCTAATCATTGTAGGCACCCAGTTTATCTCTTAGAACTAGAGTTCTAAGCTAGAGACATGGCTCAAATAGTAGGGAGCAAGCTGTAAATTGAACAGAAGAACAAGAGTGTGGGACCCTGGTTCAAGACCCAGTATCAATACAAGAAAAAGAAAAAAGAACTGGTATTCCATATCACCAGAACTGTACTGGAGAGGAAAATAAAAAAGAACCAGAGTTACATTTCTCCACAAGATTATTGGGGAAAAGCTAAGGTTTCCAATTACTTTTTATTTTATTTAAATATTTGTGTGGTTTTTGTGTGTCTAATTGTAGACCTAATTATGACTACTGTCTATTATCTTCTCATATGAGAACAAGTAAAAGAAAAATTCACCCCGAGGTGAAACTCACAATGTAGAAATACATCCAATATGAAAAAAAATCACACTTCCAAAGCCATAAAACTCAATAACTGAATCTAAAGACAATGAAGTTGCTGAACTATCAGATAAAGAATTCAAGTCTATATTTAAAAATGATCAATGACCTCAAAGAGGATTCAAATAAAGAATAAATAAGCTTAAAAAATTAGCTCAAGACTTATATAAAAAAAACTGAGCAAAAATGGGAGGGGGAGACGCAAGATGGCGGCAGCCGCGAACTCCGGCTCTAGCCTCCCGCTGTTCGACTGCCCGACCTGGGCAGGTAAACCCCCACCTGGCTTACATCTGGATGTAGTTAAAGGAGATAAGCTAATTGAGAAACTGATTATTGATGAGAAGAAATATTACTTATTTGGGAGAAACCCTGATTTGTGTGACTTTACCATTGACCACCAGTCTTGCTCCCGAGTCCACGCTGCTCTGGTCTACCACAAGCATCTGAAGAGAGTTTTCCTGATAGATATCAACAGTACACATGGCACTTTCTTGGGTCACATTCGGCTGGAACCTCACAAACCTCAGCAAATCCCCATCGATTCTACGGTCTCATTTGGCGCATCCACAAGAGCGTACACGCTGCGGGAGAAGCCTCAGACATTGCCATCAGCTGTGAAAGGAGATGAGAAGATGGGTGGAGAGGATGATGAACTCAAGGGCTTACTGGGTCTTCCAGAAGAGGAAACAGAACTTGATAACCTGACAGAGTTCAATACTGCCCACAACAAGCGGATTTCAACCCTCACCATTGAGGAGGGAAATCTGGACATTCAGAGACCAAAGAGGAAGAGGAAGAACTCAAGAGTGACGTTCAGTGAGGATGATGAAATCATCAACCCAGAGGATGTGGATCCCTCAGTTGGTCGCTTCAGGAACATGGTGCAAACGGCAGTGGTCCCAGTAAAGAAGAAGCGGGTGGAGGGCCATGGCTCCCTGGGCCTGGAGGAGTCAGGCAGCAGACGCATGCAGAACTTTGCCTTCAGCGGAGGACTCTATGGGGGCTTGCCCCCCACGCACAGCGAAGCAGGCTCCCAGCCACACGGCATCCATGGAACGGCGCTCATCGGTGGCTTGCCTATGCCATACCCGAACCTTGCCCCTGATGTGGACTTGACTCCTGTTGTGCCGTCAGCAGTGAACATGAACCCCACACCAAACCCTGCTGTCTATAATCCTGAAGCTGTAAACGAACCCAAGAAGAAGAAATATGCAAAAGAGGCGTGGCCGGGCAAGAAGCCCACCCCTTCCTTACTGATTTGATATTTTTGGTCATGGAGAAGTGGGGGATTGATTGGGTGGGAATGGGGTGGAAGGGTGACAGAACTAATGAACTAGGGAGGAAAATTTCCACGTGTGCAGTATCGTCTTTGAGAATGTCTCCTGGGGTCCTAAACCATGTAATACTGAGCCCGCAGGTAGGGCTGGACTAGCCCACAAACACCTGTCTTGAGAACGCTTTAGTGTAGACAGAGGATTTGTGGGTACTTTTAAGTAGACTGCCCTGGCTCTTCCTACCCCTCCTCTCCTTCTCCCTAGGGTGATTCACATGCCTTTAGATGGAATCCTGACCTGGGGAGGTGACGTGGCCTCGAAAGTCCCAGGTAGCAAAGGAGTTGTCATGGATTTCAGGTTGATCAGTTAAGCTAAGGTTTAAACTCGAAAGTGTTTTCTTGGGTTGGTGGTTTTGAGGTCCAATAGTTAGGCTTTTCTCTTTTGTCCTTTCTGTTGGAGTAAGAACATTTTGATTTCCCTTCGTCTGTTACCAGTGCCCTGGCACAGGTTTAGGCTTTTTAACCTACAGTATTGTTTGACCTTTACCTGTTTTTCTTGTCCAACCTGAAGCACTCCACTTGCCTAATTTTTTTTTTAATTTAATTCCAGAGTACTGTCCTCTACTCTAAGGCGTTATTTTGCTTTTTGAGTGTGGTATGAAGGCAGTTTTAAAGGCTGTGACGGGTTGGGGCAGATCAAATTTAAAAAGAGAAGATTTTACTTTGTAAGGAACTGGTTTCTCTTAAGAGGACGTTTTAGCTGTTGGAGGAGGCTCTTCCCCCTGGGTGGCGAGCTCTGCTCGCTCAGAGCTTCAGGAGCAGCACTGGCTAACACAAGAGACCAAGAGAGGAGCTTTGTACAGAGATTTGTACATTTGTGTAATAGGCCTTTTCACGCTTTCTGTGTAGCTTTTTACCTGTAACCTTTATTACATTGTAAATTAAACGTAACTTTTGTCAAAAAAAAAAAACTGAGCAACATGGATAAGAAACAGCAATGAAATGGAAGTTGCAAAAAAAAAAGTTAGAAATTTTAAAACTCAATAAACTGAATATAACCTACAGTGGATATTAATATCAGCAGAGAAACCAAGAAGAAGACAGAAGATTAGGGATGAAAATGTCTGAGGAAATATTGCACTCAGAAAATAACAACACTTTCATAGTGACCCATGCCAGAGCAAACTGTGGTCCCGAACCATTGCCTGGCCTCGATCTGTGGGCACTGCAGGGGGTTGCACAGAGGAAAAAAAAGAAAAAATAAAGAAAGAAAAGAGAAAAAAAAAGAAAAAAAAGAAAACAACAACAAACAATTACGTAACTATGAGCACAACCTACTGGACATGATCAAAAACCAAATCTAAGAATTTATGGAGTAAAAGAAGAATCAGAAATTCATACTAAAAGCCAGGTGCTAGTAGTTCATTCCTATAAACCTAGCTACTCAGGAGGCTGAGATCTGAGGATTGCAGTTCGATGCCATCCTGGGCAGAAAAGTGTGTGAGACTCTTTATTTCCAATTAACCACCAGAAAACTGGAAATAGTACTGCAACTCAAAGAGATAGAGCTCTAGCCTTTGGACAAAAAACTCAGAGACAGCAGCCAGGCCCCAAGTTCAAGCTCCACAACCAGAAAAAAACAAATTCAAACTAAAGATATCAGACACTTGCTTAATGAAATTATAGACAACTTCCCAAAACTTGGTCATTATATAAACACAAGGAGACATTCCATATTGTGAACAGACCATAGCCAGAGAAAAATAACTATGCATCACGTCATAATTAAAATGTCAAGATTTGAGAACAAAAAGTAGGACACTGAAAGCTGTAAGGGAAAAACTCCAGTTTGCCTACAAATACAAACATATAAGAATTGTATCAGAACCTTCATCATGAACTCTACAAGCTAGGAAACCATGGAACAATATATTTCAAGCCCTAAAAGCCAAACATTTCCAACTAAGAACTGTATACAGCAAAGTTATAATTTTACTTTGAGAAATAAAAATTCCAGGGTAAGAATAAGCTAAGGGAGTTCATGTCTCCCAAGCTTGAAGAAGGTATTTAAGATACTTAGGACATTATACAAAGAAGAGGAAGAAATATAGTCACAAAAATGAGATTCTAGGAAAGAATAAAATCCTAAAAGGGAATGGAAAAACACTTGAAAACTGTAAAAGTATGAAACATGGCTAACCCAGCAAAGCAGTAAATTTCAAAGATGAAGAGTGGTCAAAAAAATTAAAAGGTGAGTGAAAACAATACTACAATTTAACCTAGTGAAAAACCCAACAGAATCATAAGAAGTGGTGAGAACCACTCAATCAAAACTCTGTATATAAAACAGGCTTGATCTTCCAAACAAACAACAGATTTTCAGACTGGATTTAAAAACAAGTTCCAGTAATGTTTTGTCTACAAAAAATTTACCTTACAATATAAACATACATACGAAAAGTGAAAGTTTAGGAAAAGATATATATCAAGTGACAGTTGCAAACAAGAAGTAGCTATACTTATACTGGATATAACAGACTTCAAGCAAAAACTAGACTGAAGAAATCGTGAAGATCAGTACTTATTAATAAAAGGAAGATTCATTAAGATATTGTAATTATATATACACACATATACACTTATGTTTAATCATATAAATGATGGTGCCTCTAAGTTCATAAAGCAAACTTTACTTAAAGAACATATAGCTCCAGACACAATATTAATATTATATTAATAACTGTACTTATTAATACAACCTAAATAGCTTTCTCATCAATAGATTGAATAACAAAGCCTAAAAATCAGCATTCTCCAAAGTAGATTATGCCTTAGGCCATAAACTGAGTATAAGTAAATTAAAAAAAATTGAAATACTTTCCTGTAATCTAATAGACTATAATAGAATAAAATTAGAAGTCAATAACAAGAAAAACCATGAAAACTATTCAAAAAACATATGGAAATAGAGTAACAAACTTTTGAATAATCAACAGATCACTGAAGAAATTAGGAATTAAGCAGAAAATTTTCTAGATTAAAATGAAAATAATGCCAGAATCTATAGGACACAACAAAGACAGTGCTAATAAGAGCATACATCAGAAAAAGAGAGATGTCAAATAAACAACCTAATTATACACTTCAACCTCTTACTGGAAAAAAAAAAAAGTTATCCTGAGGAGGTAACAATGCTCGACAGGAAATGTACTCATTATCTTACTCATGTAACTGTAACCCCTCTGTACAGTAATTTGACAATAAAAAAACATTTAAAAAAGAATAAAAAAAAGAACAAGTTATCCCCAGTCCAGAAGTGTGAAGTTCATAATAAAAATAAGGGCAGAAACTAATGACATAGAGATAATAATAACAATAATATAACAGGGTTGGGAAGGTGGCTCATGGTAGAGCGCTTGCCTTGCATGCATGAGGCCCTGGGTTCGATTCCTCAGCACCACAAAAGAAAAAAGAAAAAAAAAAGCTGGAAGAGGCGCTGTGGCTCAAGTGGTAGAGCTGAGCTGAAGAGCTGAGGGACAGCGCCCAGGCCCAGAGTTCAGGCCCCACAACTGGACCCCCCCAAAAAAATAAAATAAAAAAATAATATAACAAATCAATGAAACAAAGAGATGGTTCATTGAAAGATAAACAAGTTTGACAAACCTTTAGCTAAACTAACCAAAGAGAGACAAGAGAAGGCCCAAATTAATAAAAGGATGTGTGTAAGTCTGATTATAAAAATATGTGACTAATACATAAAATTATGAATACAAAAGCAAAAGTTAACAGAAACAAATAATCCTAAATGAAAGCATGGGTAACAGTTACTAATGAAATTCAGAAGATCGTTAGGGAATATTTTCAAAACATACATACCAACAAATTGAAGAATGAAAAAGAAATTCCTGACCCGTATGGCGCACCAAAAATGAATGAAGAAGATAAAAAAATGAACAATAATCAGTAATAATCTCCACCCCCACCCCCACCCCTAAAAAAGCCCAGGACCAATGAATTCACTGCTGAGTTCTACCAGACCTTCAAAAAACTAACATCAATGTTCCTTAAACTATTCCAAAAAGTACTAAGGGAAGGAATACTACTAAATTCATTCTATGAAGACAATATCATCCTAAGTAAAAAAATTGGGTGAAAACACAATAAAAAGAGTTATTCATCAATTTTTCTCCTGAACATAAATGCAAATATCCTCAATAAAATACCGACAAACCAAATCCAATAACATATTAAAAATATCATTCCAATTGAGTTGAAGAGCTCAGGGACAGTGCTCAGGCCCAAAGTTCAAGCCCCAAGAACAACAAAACAAACAAACAAAAAATCATGAGCCGGGCATCAGTGGCTCACACCTGTAATCCTAGCTACTTAGGAGGCTGAGATCTGAGGATTGTGGTTCAAAGCCAGTCCGGGCAAGAAACTCCGTGAGGGGTCTGGGAAGTTGGCTCAGTGGTAGAGTGCTTGCCTTGCATGCATGAGGCCCTGGGTTCAATACCTCAGCACCACATAAGAAGAAAAAAAGCTGGAAGTGGAGCTGTAGCTCAAATGGTAGGGTGCTAGCCTTGAGCTGAGGAGCTGAGGAACAATGCCTGGGCCCAGAGTTCAACCCCCATGACCGACAAAAAAAAAAAAATACAAGAAACTCCATGAGACTCTTATCTCCAATAAACCATTAGAAAACTGGAAGTGGCCCTGTGGCTCAAGCGGTAGAGTGCCCTCCTTGAGCTGAAGAGCACAGGGACAGTGCCCAAGCCCAGAGTTCAAGCCCCACGACCGACCAACAAAAAAAAAGAAAAAAGAAAAAAAATCATTCCAGGGATGCAAATATGTTCAATGTACACAAATCTGTAAAAGTAATCTAATACAGAAACAAAATCAAGGGCAAAACCATAATCATCTTAACAGATTCTGACAAAATCCAACATCATTTCATAATAAAAGCTCTGAAGAGGGCTGGGAGGTGGCTCAGTGGTAGAGCACTTGCCTTGCATGCATGAGGCCCTGGGTTGGATTCCTCAGCACCACATAAGCAAAAAGAAAAAAAAGCCAGAAGTGGTGCTGTGGCTCAAGTTGTAGAGTGCTAGCCTTGAGCTGAAGAGCTGAGGGACAGCACCCAGGCCCA